TCTGAATGGTGAAAAAAGAACTAAGTTTCTGTTCTTTAAAGCTTCCCACATGTGGTATTTCTGTTATAGCACGGCAAAGAAAACCACCTTCTCCCAAACACTTTACCGATTTAGGGAATGAACATTCTAATTCATTTATTTAAAAATCTCATTCAAATGTGGATTGTTTCTATTCCATGAGGGAATGTCTAACACAGGATTGTGTTTACAAAAGAATATATGAATCCATATACTATGGTCAGATGTTAATATTCTCTCTTGTTTGTGAATTAAAAGTACATAGGTAATAGTTACTTTAAGCTTTGAATCCCTTGTAACTGTGCATTCCTTAAAGGAACAAAAATATTTCATGAGCACAATTATATATTTACGTATATTATACAAGTGAATATATCATACACAATGACACACACACATATTACAAATGAACAGGCAGTGTTAGGGTTGACGATAAAGTGTTCAGACATTAAGCAAAGGGCAAGCGGCCTATTAAGGAAAACTGCTGCTTTGGGGCATCTTTGTTGAGCTTGTGACACATATGCTTTGCCCAGAGCTTGTCTGGTCATCACCTGGGGCTGAGGTGACAAAAACATTCAAAAGTTCTTGGCAGAGATTCAGAGCATCTTTCTGCACCATAGGAAGCTGACACCTGCAGTAAATGCAGAAATTCACTGAGAAATTCACCGAGACATCTTTTGAAGAGAATTCAACTTCAAATTTAAATTCTGAAATGATGGGATGGGGAGAGAATGTAAGCAAAATGGAATAGGACCCCATCTCCAGAATTCATTCTGAGCTAATCCACTTGGACTTGTTGGTAAATGTTTGGTTTTAATTGCAAGTGTTTATTTGGACATAACTTGTTAACTAACATTTTTATAACATTGCACCTTTCTCCAAAAGATGCAACTACAGGTAACTACACGCTGGGTCATTAAAACCTCTAAAACGTGACAATGAGGAAAGGGAAAGGAAGAAAAATGTAAGAGGAAATGAAAGGAAAAAAATAGATTGTAGGAAATTTCAATCACTGGTAAACTCCAACTTAGTCATTTAGTTTTTGTCGCTCTGATGCCGCTGAAGGCAGGGATACTGGAGTCCCCTAAGGTAAAAGGACATCATTTCCTTATTACTCATTTTTCTTTGCTAATGAAAGATTACTTGCACCCTAAAACAGTGCTTACATAGATTCATATGTTGAGACAAGGGACACAGAAAAGCAGAAGTTTTCACAGGAAACACGGAAGGTGTGAGTGTAAAGCAATGTTCTTTGACAGAGTCAAGATGAATGAATGTCTATAGTGGAATGGCTGTTGCAACGTTCTGTTTGGGGTGAAGGGTGAGACCTCCAGTTCATCTCGTGGCTCTCAGACAGTACATTCACATCATTTGTGCATTTGTTAAAGCGCAGAGTGCTGCTCCGCCTCGTGAGTTTCTGAATCATCTGGATGGGGCCAGAGCATTTGCATCTGCATTTCTTACAAGTTGTGGAGGCTGATGCTGTCGGTCTGCTGATCACACTTTGGAAACCATGGAACTAACTCACGTCCTGCTCTGTGCAAGGTTTGATGTAGATTTATCGGGGTAAAACACAGAGGGGGTCTTAATAGAAAGTCGGTCTCTTGCCTGAAGGATCTCTCTTTGAGTCAATACTGGGCTTCCAGTGCAAGAGCCGTTAAGAGAGAAACACATAGAGTACCATGAAAGATTCCAGAGGGCAAGATTATTCCTCAATGAAGGAGAACGAAGACACTGTGGCAGGTTCCTGGTTTGAGTGCTGGGCTGCAGAGGAGGAGGTATTGGATGCCTGGTGAATGGACCCAGCATGGGAAGTGGAAGGAACAGAGAAGTGAACGTGCTCCACGGGAACCTGAGTTGGGTGCAGCAAACAGGATGAAGGTGTTATGAAGGAGACAATAGTAGAAAGTCATACTACTAAGAGTATTCTAAGGATGACCTTCTCTTGTCCTGTTCTATACCCATACCTTCTCTTGTCCCCCTGCCTTTGCACAGTCAATTTCTTCTTTTAGAAAAGGCCCTCTTCCTCGAAGCGACATAAGTCTTTCTTTCACTAGTGTATCTTAGAATTTTTCCCCTCTGCGGTCTTCTTTGAATGCCCCAAGTTTCTGGTTTTCCCTCATAAATCATTGTATGGCACTTGGCATATAATTGGCTTCCAACTCTGCATTCCCATGATTCTGTTTGCAGTGCAGCCATGTCTCTGGATCTCAGTCTCCGTTGGCACCCATGGCACCATCCCATCAATGACTTCTGCCACTTACAAATAATTGTAACTGCATGGCTTTCCCCACTTTGATCCTAGGTTCACTACCCCCCCCCCCACCCCCAACACACACACACACTTTTACCTCAGAGACACGTGCTTAGAGAGCATTGGCTCACCTTTTAGAATGAGTAATTTAACTCTTCCTGCCCCCACTCTTTGGGGTCCCCACATAGAACACGTGTTTAAACACTTGATGGATAACTAAAAGGTTTGAATTCACCTCCGAATAAAAAAGGCCCGTGATCTACTTCAGAAAAAGTCATCATTGAAGACCCTATGGAGAACAGGTCTCCTCTGCCACCTCCTGGGTCACAGTGAGGTGAAGTCAACCACACAGCAAATGACACAACCACAGGTATTCGTCTCTCACTCACCTCCTTAGTCAGGTTTGCATCCCACAGAACCCAAGTGTGCTTCTCTTGGAACTGCAGCAGTGACTTCTTTGTTGTTAAATGCTGTGGATGCCTTCAGCGTGTGTCTAGTTTTAAGTCCCTGAACCCTTGGCCATCCTCTCCTTACAACTTGTTTAGCGTGTTTCGTAATGCACCCCTGGTCTTCTTCTCAGATCCCATTGTAAACTGGTTTCCCCTCTTAAATCTTAAAACTTCCTATTTGAGGCCTCACTAGGCATGTTTTCCTAGAGTGATCTCAACCATATTGAAAACTTCAATGATCATTATGCTAATGATGCCCAAGAGGCCTGGTGACATGTTAAACATTGGGCTGCTAACCATGGCCATAACCTTTAAAACCTGGAAGATAGTTAGCTACTTGGCCAACTGACTGGAAAAAAAAATCCATATTTGTACCTGTTTCAAAGAAAGGTGACCCAATAGAGTGGGCAAATTATCAAACAAGATCATTAATATCACACAGAAGTAAAATTTTGCTGAAGATCATGCGACAATGGTTACAGCGGTACTTGGGCAGAGGGCTGCCAGAGGTTCAGACCGAATTCAGAAGAGGACTTTTCCCCATCTCATTCTTTGGCTAACATCTATCTACTCAATCTAGGAATCTCAGCTCATATACTTCCCCAAAACAATACCCACATTTTCTCTAAGAATAATGAATAGCACAGGAAGCATCTAAAATAACATGGAAGAAATGCATGAAGGCACTGTAGCAAAAAGAATTTATCAATGGCCAACTATTTCAGAAGCTAGCACATGATCAAAAGATGATGGTATTAAAGGAAAAAGTCCAAGCCACACTGAAGGCCTTGGTGAAAAGGAAGGCTGCAGAGACTGACATGATATCAATTGAAATACATCTTCAAATGGATCTGATGCTGAAGCACACCTATTTATACTCAGCTATTTGGAAGATAGATACCTGGCCAGCCACTGCAAGAGATTCGCATTTGTACCCATTCCAAGAAAGGTGATCCAACAGAAAACATAAATTATTGACCAATATCATTAACATCACAATCAAGTAAAATTTTGCTGAAGATAATTAATAAATAGGTTCAGCAGTACATCTACAGGAAATTTCCAGGAATTTAAGCTGCTTTCAGAAGAGGATGTGGAATGAGGGCTATCATTGCAGATGTCTGATGACCTGGTACAGAGGGTACCAAAAATATGGTTACCTGTGCTTGATTGGCTACACAAAGGCATTTGACTGTGTGTCTTATTACAAACTATGGATAACATTGAGAAGAATGGGAATTCTTGCCCATTTGATTATGTGGAACCTGTATACAGATCAAAAGGAAGCTGTTCAAACAGAATGAAGTGAGAATACGTGGCTGGAATCAGGAACGGTATGCATGAGGGTTATACTCATATATTTTCATCATACTTATGCAATATGCACGCTAAACAAATAATTCTGAAAAGCTGGATTATATGAAGAACATGGCGTCAAGATCGGAGGAAGACTTCTTAACATACCAGATGATACATCCTTGCTTGTTGCTGAAAGCAAATTTGAAGCATTTATTGCTGAAGATCAAAGATCAGTATAGATTACAGCACAACATAAAGACAACAAAAATCCTTACATTTGAGCCAATAAGAAGCACCATAAGGAGTGGAGAAAATATTGAAATTTCCATGAATTTCATTTTACTGGGATCCACAATCAATGCCCATGGAAGCCGCAATTGGTGTTTAACAGATTAAGACGATGATGTGTGATCAGTGATGTGTGGATTCAACAGGAAGAGTGGGAGGGATCAAATATGTCATACCGAATGCTAAACAAAAGGTTACAGAAATTACAAAGGATACTTGGTTACTCATAAAAATGCCCCAAATATCATTCAGTCATCAGCCAGTGGCACAGAAAATTTCTATAAGAGGCCCTGGGAGAAGGACCAAGAAGGTTCTATCCAAGATAGAGGATTTTTTTTTTTTTTGCCAAGTACCTGAAAATTCTTCTACTTAACATGGCTATGTCAGCTGTGAATATGGTGCCAGTTTCGAGTGGATTTGGGGGTATGAGTCCGGGGAAACTGTTAGCAGGCTAATTTTTGTGTGGCATGAGGACTGTCCATGGACGAGAACTCACCCTGGAACAATCCTATTCCTGACTAACTCACTTCAGCCGGATTCGAATGTATGGTACTAACAGCTGGATTCTAGGTAAGGGTAAATGTACAAATGCACCCCACAGCATTCATAAACTCAGATAATAGGAAAAGGTGAAACTCTCTTTCAGGCTTAATTTATTTCTACCAATTTGCTTTGTTTGATAGCAGCATGCATTTAGAAGATATCTGTCCTTTATTTTCAAATCTCCTTTTACCCTTTGTCAGAAACCTTGCGGGCTCTCTACAGGTAGTTCCATTTATAATCCATTTGACACAGCAAGACTCTCATAATTAATGAAGCTCCCCACAGGACTGCCATTGACCCAGAATGTAGGGCAGGCGGAGCGCCGATGCAATAGAAAGGACAGTGGGCTGTCCGCCAGGAGACTGGGATGGTTGGCTAAAGCCTGCGGCGGAGCTTCAGCAGACCAGAGCTTCTCACTCCTTTTCCAGGGCCCTCTTTTTCCTTAAACTGGAAAGAGAGGAAAGAACAGGTTACAGCAAAAAATCAAGATATAGTTACTAGCCGCGAAAATATCTTTTCCCATTGCTAGTCAATTTAAAGCAAACTACTATTAAGGCAAGTTTTGATTTGGGTAGGAAGAGGAAGGATGTGATTATATCTTTAAACACTAATGTAAACACTGAACAGTTTCTGAATCAGAAAACCAGCACGTGGTTGGTGGGATTTTCATAGGGTTTTTCTGCCATTTCTGAGGTTTGAAGTAGGGCAAAGGGAGCCAGGAGAAGTATTTTTCCAGTCTTTACCTCCCTGATTTAAACACACATGTCAATGGCAGAAAAAGACAAAGGAAATCAGCATCCAGGAACAAATAGAGGTTGCTCTATGAGGATATTTATTCGCATAGAACTATGTTTCACAATAAGATCCTATAAAAAATAATTGAAATATTTCCCCATATTTCACCCACATAATTTCCTGCATAAATTAACCTTGACCTGAATAATGAGCAGATCATATGAAAAGATTTCCAGAAGGCCAGAAGAAAGCTTTATTATGGCTTATCTCACTGTATGTAGTCAGAAAAATTTGGTTGATTTGCCCATTAAAATAGTCTCAGATGATCCATATGACCCATCTTTTAAAGCAGGGTCCCCAGAGGGACTCCAAAACACCCATCTTCACAGCCGCAGGTCCTCTCTGCACCCTCTGGTCCACACTCCAATCCTACTTTCTCTACTGGCCAGCTCACAGGGACACATTGCTAAAAATATATATTCAACAGAGAAAACAGAAATATAGTTCCACATGCTGAAGTTCACATCTTCCCTTCCCCAAAAGGAAGAAACCGGAATTTCCCATAATCCTTCTCTTCAATTTGTAGTTAAGGCCATACTGGACTGCTTCCTCCTGAATAAGTGAATAAATCCAAAGCCTCAAGATGCAAATTTGAAGGGTTTTATAGACAAAATATGAACTATGCAGGACACATCCAGAAAAAGGTAGAATGAATACACAGTGACTATACGCACATGAATCGGTCAATGTTCAACCATTTAAGTGATATGATAAGTTCAAGAAAGAAGTCCATGCTGTACTACAGGCGTTCGTGGAAAACAGGGCTCCAGGAACTGATAGAATGAATATCAATTGAGACGTTTCCTCAAACAGATATAGTACTGAAAGTTCTCACAGCTCCGTGCCAAGAAATTTGGAAGAAAGCTAATTTGCCAACCAACTAGAAAAGACCCAGGATTGTGCCCATTACCAAAAAATGTGATCCAACGGGAATATTGAACAAAATCACGTGCAAATAAAATTTTGCTGAAAATAATTGAAAAACGACTACAGTAGTATGTGGACAGAGAAATGCCTGAAATTCAAGCCAGATTCAGCAAAAGATGTGAAATGAGGGTTATTATTGCTGATATCAGATGGGTCTTGGCTAAGAGCAGAGAACACCAGGAAAATGTTGACTATGCAAAGACATTTGGCCATGTGTATCATAATAAGCTATGGATGCCATGTGAAAACTAGGAATTCCAGAACACTTAATTGTGCTTATGCTGACCCTATAGGTAGACCAAGAGGCAGTCCTTCGCACAGAACAAGGACTGCATTTTTGGGGTCAGGAAAGGTGTGGATCAGGATTATCTATATATCCTTTCACCATGATTATTCAGTCTTCCTGGGAGGCAAAATAATTCAAGAATCTCGACTATATGAAAAAGAATGTGGCATCAAGTTTGGAGGACGTCTCATTATCGGCCTGCGACATGTAGATAACACATGCTTCCTTGCTGAAAGCGAAGAAGCTTGAAGGACTTATGGCCAAAGATGACAGGCTTCTGTCCCAAAGAGACGGCAACTCCATGCAAAGAAAGCAAAAGTGCTCATGATAGGTCCAATAAGCAGCAGCAATAATAAATAACGAATGATAAATGGAGAAAAGGTTGACGTTGTCAAGGATTTTTGTTAACACCCATGTTAGCAGCAATAAAAATAAATCAAATGGCATATTGCATCAGGAAATGGAATGCAAATGGTGCTCTTGACCCTCATAATTTCAATGGCCTTTTATGCATATCAAAGGTGAACAATGAATAGGGAAGAGTGGAGAAGAACTGATACATTGGAATGATGATGTTGGCAAAGAAGACTGTATACACCATGAACTTACCAACCCCCCCCCCCAAAAAAAAAACAAACCCATATCTGTCTTGGTAGCAAATCTGTCTTGGTAGAAGTAGAGCCAGAATGCTCCTTAAAAGAGAGGATCACAAGACTTTGTCTTATCTAGGTTGGACATGAGATCAGGAGGGACCAATCTCTGGAGAAGTACATCAAGCACAGTGAAGTCCACGGTCAGTGAAAAAGAGGAAGACCCCAAATTAAATGGATTAACATGCTGGCTACAACAATGAGCTCAAACAGAGCTATGATCATGAGGATTCTGCAGGACTAGGTTGTTCTGCTGTGCATAGGATTGTTGGGGATCTGAAGAACTCGATGGGGCCTACCAGCAGCTATTGCACCACTTCCTCCAAGTAAATCGCCCTAGATTTTTATTTTCCCTTTTCTTTTCCTAAACGGATCCAAAATTCAAGTCCTGGATAGCACTTATTTGGAGGTCTATATTCTTTTAACTCAACAGTATCCATCTTTAATAATAATAATAATTATTATTATTATATTTAAAACTTATTTAAAAATTTAAGTATGTTTTTCATTTATAAAAGTGCTCAAAGTTTATATAAATTTTCATACTATACCTCTTATGATTATACATAGATAATGAGCTAGGGAAATAAAATGAAATTTATTTTTCCTTTCGCACATAATTCAAAAATAAATTTTCATGAAATGTTAAGGAAGGTTTAAGAGGATTTAATGCAAAATATAAGATATCTGGCATCCATGAAACTATAATTAAGGAACCCATGCCATCAGCCTGTCCACAGCATAAAGATGAGGCTTTCTATTCCGTAAAGAGTTAAAGTCTCAGGCACCCACAGGGGCAATTTTACCCACTTCCTATAAGGTTGCTGTGAGGCAGTCTCCCCAGGGCAGTGGGAAAGGACAGTGAGTCTCTTTAGCAGCTGAATGGGAGGTCCAGTGAGAAACCCCTAAGCTTTCCATGAAAGCAGACTTGCTAAGGAACCGAGGGCAGACTTGAACTTAAGCGCCATATGCAAATTTTTAGGATTACTGCCCTGAACTATAGGATCATGATCAGTCTCTTGAAGGGCACCACACACAGTATGCGCCAGAGTGAGCGATGGCGGGGATTGTTTTAATTGAGGATGGCTACATTGGATGGGCCAGTTGGTAAAAGCAGCAAAAAATAATAATGACCAAAAAAATAACAACAATAAAGCATTTGTTGCGTGTTTGCACTCTGTAAGGTGTTCTAGTAGACAGTGATAGGCTTTGTTTTCTGTGATTCTCATAGCAACCTTCTGAAGAGGATGGCAGTATATTATCTCCTAGTTTTAGGAATGAGGGAGCTTCCAGATGTTCCATAACATGTTCCAGGGCACAGAGCTGGTAAACTGAAGAGCCAGCATCTACACCCAAGGCCACCCTGATCACTAAACCCCTGCTCCTAACCACCGTGGGGATTTTATAACATTCATCTTCCATGCTGTGGGCGGAACAATCGCTCATCACCCCAACATATTATTACTTACCTAAAGGTGGAAAGAGCCCCAAATACTAAACCCACAGTTTGGGTCAATTAGTGATCAAGCCCTTTAAGAGATGCTTCAAGCCACCAGTTATCATATCGCCTCTGCTTCTTATTTCCTTCTGACCTGATGCCTCATCCCCTGCATTCAAACCATAACCATCCACAGCCCCTTTGTCCGGTGTCCACGTCTCCACCTTCTGCCATCCCGCTCCCTAAGCCAGGATGGTGCTTTAGCTGTGGTGGTAGGTCCCCCTACTGCTCATTCAACAGCGAGCAGACTCTATCCTTTCTGCCCAGGCCCTTTCAGCGGAAACGGGATTTTCTTGCGGTGTGCCATGGTGTTAATCCCTATGCATTGCGATCCAATGTGATGGAATAGAAGCACTCTATAAAGCTTCCTAGGTTGCAATCTTTTTTTTTTTTTAAAGAAGCCTTGATAACATAGTGGCCACGAGTTGGGCTGTGATTCACAAGGTCAGCAGCTAGGGCTTTCTATGTTCATAAACATTTACCGTCTCAGAAACCCACAGGGGCACTGCTACCTTGTCGTGTGGGCTCACTATGAATCAGCATCGACTCTGTGGTAGTGAGTTGAGTTGAATCCTTTCTTTACAGGAGCAAAGTGCCCGGGAGAACACCCTGGAGCACTGGTGGGTTTCGACCATCCACTTTTGATGAGGACTTAGCCTCAAGAATTTCTTGCTAACTCCTAACATTTTATTTCCCTTGACCCTCTGAATATGATGTTCCACCTAAACCTGCCCTAGTTATGTACATGTAATGAAAGTGCTTATTAGTCATTTGACTTACTTACTGCTCGTACCCGGTATTATTCTATGTTTGAGGCGGAGTGAAGATGCAATAATTCACCAAAGCCTATAGAAGCCCTTTCCTCATGGATAGTCTACTTAATATCCACTTTTCTTTTTGGTGTTTTTGTGCATGCTCCTAGTCCGGACAGATTTAGTGATAGATGGTATGGATTTACATTCTAATCTTTAAACTTACAATCTATGTAATGTTGGCTACATTACCTAACTTCTATGTGCTTCAGCATTCTGTACATGGGGGAAGAAAACTGCATTCATTTGAGAGACTCCATCTTCTATATTATCTTCTCCAAAGGAGACAAAAGTACGCAGGCAGTCTCTAGGTTACAAACCTTGGTATAGCTAACTGTTACTTGTCCTTTAGAGTTTTGCAAATTTGCCCGTTCAGTGAAACAATGGAACCAACTCTACTCACAACCAATTCTTTATCACAACGATTTCACCGAATTTCCAATCAATCATTGAAAAGATGTTAGCATTTTCTTGCACTAAAATATGGCTAAATGAGAACCATATGCTCATGTTCTGACTTACCCACAAATTATTAAAAAGACGGGTAGGAACTGATTACATATATAACCAAGGAACTTCCTGTACTTGAGACCTTTACTGTATGTGTATAAAGTTGCTTTTAGTTCTCAAGAAACAAGTCACAACCATTTTCTGCTTCAAAGAGAAATGACAGGACTCACCTTGATTTTTCAATGGTAAAGGCATAGTTTCCCTGAGTTTGCTTAAAAGGTTTTTCATTTCTCGAATGTCTCTGTAAGGTTGATAAAAAGAGAGAATAATTAAGCATGGGTTTGTGAAATGAAATATTAAGTAGACTCTTCTAAGAGACAACTGAAGGACACGATTCATGCCAAATAGTACTAGCTCTAGTTTCTAAGAGGCCCATATTGAATTGATTTTGGTTTTGTAAGAAAACATTTGAGATGGGCTGGCTCAGAAGGAATGAGAACTTCTCTGCCAAATGCTTCCGCCCGACCTTCTGCGATGGGAGTTGAGCTCAGAGAAGCCTGGGTAAGGAGGACAGCATTTCAGAAATGTAACGGAGAGACAAAAGCTAGCTGAATGCACCTCTACTACTCTGGGAAAAGACGGGCTGGGATGTTAGTACTGTTATACTCAGAAGCTGTTGTGGCTATGTAGGCTTGCACACTTACTATTGTTTGTTTGGTTTGAGTTTCTCATGACCATGATGGGAATTCAGCGCAACCCAGGTATTAAGCATTCACAGGAAAAGACTTACACTTATTAAACTAATGGGAGACTGCAGGTTAGTCTCTGAAAATGCTAGAAAAACCAAAGAGAGAAAGTAGTTTGCCCCATCATTGGCCAAGAGGAGGCCTTGGGAAAGGGCCAGCAGTTGGAGGGTAAACCACATGCTGAAACATCTGGAGAAGGGCCCTTCACAGCGAATAGAAGAGAGAAATGGAGGGAGGGAGGCAGGGAGGGAGAAAGAGAGAGGGAGGACGCATTGTTTTCCTTTGGCCATTGGCATATCCTTTTAAGCTCCCTGGGCCTTCACTCACTAGATACAATGCTATGCACACTTCCAACATCCTTCCTCTCCTGGTCCATGTTATGATAAAAGCACAGAATTGTAGCGCAGGAAGCTATCTTACAGGGGGCTTCTAGGCTAGGGCAAGGGAGATTTGGATTTTTCACATCTTTGGGACGATGGTTCTCAAATAGAGTGGTAAGTCAAAAAGTATTGCTGCCAGAATTCCACTTCATACGTGCGTGGGCTTATTCAAACAGAAGCATGTTTCAACACATGTCTGTGATCAGAGGGTGACTGCAGATGAGTCCTTGCAGTAAGTTACCTGTCTAAGTCTCATTAGAGAGCTTTCAGAACAGAAGATGCAACCAGAATAGTGGCTTCGGAGGGGATTTGTTGTCAGGCCATTTGAAGTCAAGGCCGAGAGGGGACGGTAACTGTTTGGGGCTCTCCAAAGGAGTAATCCAGCTAGATTTTCTTTAAAGACAAAGGACAATCACAAGGACTTACTATGATAACGTTCTTAGAAAACTGAAAATGGCATTGGTGAGAAAAAAAACAGGACAATTTTAACAATGGATTATTTTTTTCCACCATGACAATATATATATCTGCTCATTCTTCTAGGGCAGTGGTTCTCAACCTTCCTAATGCCACAACCCTTTAATAGAGTTCCTCATGTTGTGGTGACGCCCCAACCATAAAATTATTTTCGTTGCTACTTCATAACTGTACTTGTGCTACTGTTATGAATTGGGTGACCCCTGCGAAAGGGTCATTCGACCCCCCAAGGGATTGCGACCCACAGGTTGAGAACTGCCATCCCAGGGTGTTGTTGTTAGGTACCAGTGAGCTGGATCCGGCACCTAGTGACCCTAAGTACAACAGAACGACACACTCCCCGGTCCTGTGCCCTCCTCACGATGGTCCCTATGCCTGATCCGTGGTCGCAGCCACTGTGTCCGTCCACCTCCTAGACGGCCTTCCTCTCTTTCACTGCCCCTCTACTTTACCAAGCCGATACTCCTTCTCCAGGGACTGGTGTCTACTGATAACATGCCAAAGTACGGGAATGGAAACCTCGCCATCCTCACTTCTAAGGAGCATTCTGGCTGTACTGCTTCCAGGGCCGGTTTGCTTGTTCTTTAAGCAGCGCGTGGCACTTTCAGTACTCTTCACCAGCACCACAGTTCAAAGTCAGTAGGGAGCAATGGCTTTCCCAGGAGAAGGTCACGGGAAACCTTACCCTATGTGACCCACAGCCCTGTGACCTACAGCCCTGTGACCTACAGCCCTGTGACCCACAGCCCTGTGACCCACAGCCCTGTGACCTACAGCCCTGTGACCTACAGCCCTGTAGGTGTTTTTGTTTCCCAAACTCAAAGAACTTTTAAAAGGAACATGATTTGAGTCCCTCGACAAGCCCAAACCGCCATTTTAATATGGTGTGAATCTAAAGGTATACATTTTTTTTTTGGTGGGGGCTGGAGGATTAGAGGGACATTCACACTACCTTCAGAAGTATATAATCCAAGATGGAGGCTATGTTGAGAAACAATAGCTTCAAGTTTTGTTTTTAAATGAAGGGATATGTTTTTAAATAAAGCCTTTGGTGACTTTGTATTAGTGCTTTCTGACTTCCCCTCGTATACACCAAATCAATACTATTTAAGCTCCAGGGCATATTTCATTTAACACAGCAAAAAGATAGCTTGATGCAAAATCAGATACATCTTTTAATTAACTGTAGACTAGATAAACAAGAACAGACCAAAAGATGTTAAGGCAATTTGTTAGGTGGGGGAACAAGACATGGGTGGTGGTGGAGATCATCTAAATGTTGAGACAATTCTATCCATTAACTTACTTTTCTTTGCCATTTAAGGAAAGAGAGACAGAATTTAATTTTAAGTAAAAGAACCCTCAATCTAGTTAAATACCACTGCTTTGCTAAGCATGATTTGAGGACCACTGGTGGCACAGTGATTATGAGATGGGCAGTGATCTGCATGGCTAGTAGTTTGAAACCACCAGCCACTTCAGGCCGAAAGAAAGGCTTTCTACTTCTGCAAATGGTTAAAGTCTCAGAAACCCACATGAGGGTCACTGTGAATCAGCGTTGACTCGATGACAGTGAATTTATTTTTTGGTTTGGTCCTGAGAAGTACAGAGACCTCATTGCATTTCCTTCTGGCATATTGACTAATATCTAAAGGAAACCTAACCTGGCAGCAGTTCATTGGAAAAGAAAGGAGCAAGCAGTCTGGCAGACTCGCTTTGTAGACACACAACTGTAAACACATTCAGACGCTCCCTGCCTTAACTCATTGCACTCCCTTCTCTCAGTTTTCCTCTGTGTGAGGGGCTTCAGGCTTACAAGTTCCAAAAGGAATTTCTAGAGAGGGAAGGTGGCCATGAGGTAAAAGGAATGCAGGGTCCTAAATCCAGAAATAAAAGGGGGCACGTTCTGTTCCAGGTAAAATTCTCAAGGGTGGATGGGAAGAGTGGGAGGTGAATAAGCTCAAGATAGGAAAAGGCTAGGAATGCAATACGTGGGATTGGTGCAAAGTCTGCCCATAATATAATTCTCTCCACTGATGCCCAAAAGAATCACTTTGTGCCCTGGCTCCACTCCCACAGATTCTTATTCAGTTGGCTTACAGTGGCAGCCAGGCACCATTGTCTTTTAAGGGCCTCTTTGTGGTTTTATGCGTAGTCTGGTTTGAGACCCACAAGTCTCGTACGGTTGAGAGCCAGGAAGGACTGAACACGCCTCCCTTCAGCACCGGGTCTACCGTGTTCACTTCTTTTCACCTTTCCTACTGCCTTTGACCTCAATCTGGACTTTTAGGAACTTAAATGCTGTCCACACAGTTATTCCCAGTACTCCTCACAGCTTGTTTTACAAGCTTAGGCTTGGCTATAAGGGCTGCGCAGAGTTTCGGGGAAGAAAAATGGCTTTGCTCATTGATTATGTCTTCACCATGTCATCCTGGCATTTCCCCTGGAAACAGAGGAAGGAATTTTCTATGATAGAAATTCGCATACATTGCCTCCTTCTTAGTTGTCTATGGGTCTATCAAACTGCACCAAACAGCCTTATTCTTTGAATGGTTGGTTTTCTAAGCTTATAACAAAGTCCAAGCTTTATTAATAGCACATAATTACCACATGCTCCAATTTTCTATAAACATAGAAATTTGGTAATTAGCCTTAGAATTATATTATAATCGCAAAGTAGAACCACAATGGCTATAAGTGCCATTGTGTGCTACATTTCTAAAAATAAGAAAATAAAATGCTCATTATCTTGTCAATGACTCACCCCCCCCCCCCCCCCCCCCCCGCCCCCAACACTCAATGGAATTGCCTGGTATTCATTCAGCTGTTTTGTGCAGCTCTGGAAACATCAGCAACAAAGGGCACAGATATTAGTGTGAAGGCTCATAAACAAGGGTCTGTCCTTCTGCCTCCTAGAATGGCATTCTTAGCATCTGGATGAGACATGACACTTATTATTATATATTATTATTGTTCTTCTTTTTCAAATGAAATAGAATCCCCATAGAATCTCTTCTCCCTAGAAAAAGTGCTTTCTCACTAGCAGTGAGCTCAAGTTGTTAGGACAAAGGCATTCTCTTTAACGATACGGAATCATTAAAGTATCTTCCAGGAGAGAAAGTATAGCGAGCTCTGCAAACATCTGTTTGTCGACAGGCGAGGAGACTTGGCCTCTGACTCACAGCTCAGTAGATTATTCCATGTACCAGAATTATAAGAATCCACAGGAAGCCTGTCTGCATGATTTTGGACATTTATCCCTTAAACAATTGGAGATTTGGGGACCACCTCAGTGGTTGAGCTGGGACAGGCTGTAGATCCAATGTTCTCCCTGCCCCAAAAAACAAGAGTTTTCCTTTCTCCAAGAGAGACTTGTGTTGGAGTGAGCTAAGCAGAGACCTGAGAGCCTGTGCCTACTGTAGGTTCTTTTGCTGTTCCCAGCTAGAATTTTGGTCTAGTTATTCTTCCTCAGTTCAGTTTTTAAAAAAAAATTTGTAGATTAGGCAGTCTCCAAGGTTCCTGCCAACTATATCTCTCCAGCAGAAAAAAGACAGCACTGTTTTTGTTTTTAAAGCCTGAAATAGAAATTTTCAACTCTCTGTGGACGCTAAGATTATTAACTGGAAGAAGATTGGCAATCCATTCATGCTAGTCGCTTTAGGATAACTTCATACCGTACTTACCTTTCTGTGTTTTCAATGTCTGTGGAAACCTGCCAGGAATGGTGCTGAGCGTCTGTGGGGGATGACGAGGACCCCTCCACAGCAGGTGTTACAGCGCTCTCCTCGATTTTGCAATCCAAACTCTTGGTTCCCCCTCCAGGCTCCTTTCCTAAGGTAGGAGAGGGTGTTGGTAAAAAGAAGAACAAGCCATGAATGAAAGTTATGTACACAAGCTATCACTGCAAAGTTTTGCTCTACTTTGAGTCAAAGACTCCATTAATCTAATAGCTTCTGTGATACAAAAGTAAATGTGTATACACGCATACAGAAACAAGTGTGAAGGTTTGTTGTATGCTTTCAGATTCAGGTCATGGGAGTTTGGGCCCACATCTTTCTTCTGTGGAGTGCCTGCTGGGTTCTAACACTCAGCCTTTTGGTTAGCAGCTGAGCTTTTTAACAGCTTTATCACCTAGCATATACTATCTCTAGCTCCATATCTATACTACTTGCTTGTCAGTTTGCCATACTATGGTGGCTTGCATCTTGCTGTAATACTAGAAACAATTCCAATGTTTGGTTTAAATCAGCAAGGCCCTCCATGGCCAACCGGTTCCAGCAGGGCTTTTGAGGCCAAGGCAAACTGGGAACGAGAACCTGGTGATCTGCTTCTGCAAAATTTGGTCCCCGATAACCTCATGAATAATAGTGGAGCATTGTTTGATATAGTTCTGGAAGATGAGACTCTTTTGGAAGGCACTCAAAATATGGCGAGGGAAGAACTGTCTCCTTAAAGTAGAGTCAGCCTTAGTGATATGGATGCAGCAAAGCTTTGGGGACTTTCATTTGCTGAGGTGGCACAATTGAAAATGAAAATAAACAGTTGCAAACATCCATTAATAATCTAAAGTGTGCAAAGTTTAGTTCTGGGAAAACTGGAAGTGATCAAAAATGAAATGTAACACTTAAGAGATCAATAGTCTAGGCATCAGTGAACTTAAATGGACTGGTGTTGACCATTTGACCCAGACGATCACATTATCTATTATGCTAGGAACGGCACACTGAAGAGGAATGGCCTCACATTTATTGTCAAAACAAACAAAGAAAAAAAGAAAAATACTTTTCCAGATTTAGCTTTAAGGAAATAGAGGAAAGAACTAGGAGGCAAAGTACATTTATAGAGGTCTAAATACAAGCATGTACATATGTAAATATATCTATAAATAATGATAGGGAAATACATCTACATACATATATTTATATGTTCAGTATTTGGTAGCAGACGAACATTGGCCCACTATTTAGATACTCCCTCAATGCAAGAACACTTTATTCTAATAATCTGGCATTCTGTGATGCTCATCTTCCTGACGATTGGTGAAGACAAAATGGGTGCATAAGTGTAT